TGAGACAGAGGGGCTCTTTACCCAGTGTGTTGGCAGGCATGATGTCAGAGTCTCAGCCTTGCTGGCCACTCCCTTGGTGGTACAGCTGCCCTCAGTGTACACTGTGCAGGATAGCTTACTCTTGCAGGGTCACTGCCCCAGTGGTCACTCTCATATCACATCTCTATGAACAGCAGCCACTCCATTTGCATATTATGGAAAACATTCCCTTTTATGGGGCTTCTGGTTCTCCAGGCACAACCAAACCCTGGTCTTGCTTTCAGTTAGGAGAGGAGGAAGCTGGATACCAAATTTGGCCTTAGTTCTTCCCAGTTAGGAGGAGTCTTGAACAAACAGACTCACAGACAGCCACACTCTAAACTAGATATTATGTGACCGGGTGAGGCCAGATGACAACAGGTGAATACTCGAAGAAAGGTATGTTAGCTCTAGATCAGTGTTTCTGAAAGTGTTCCATGGGAACACTTAGAGAAGCACATTAACTGGCCACCTGGGTTTGTTTACTTACCAGCGCCGCAGCCATGGAGCTTCGTGACTCCCATTGGCTCCGTTTCGCTCTTTGCAACCAATCGGAGCAGCGGGAAGCGGTGGCTCTAATGCAATTTGTCCTAAGGTACTTAAGGAACTGGCTGAAGCAATCTCTGAACTGTTAAAAATTACATATGAGAACTCATGGAGGAAAAGTGAAGTCCCAGAGGACTAGAGAATGCCAAACATAATACCTATCTTTAAAAAGGACCCAGGGAATTATAGATGACTTACCCTAACTTTTGATACTTGGAAAGATATAGGAACAAATTTCTTTAAACCATCACTCTGTAAGCACCTAGAGGATAATTGGGTGATGAGTAATAACCAACATGGATTTGTTAAGAACAAAATCATGCTAAACAACCCAATTTCCTTCTCTGATTAGGTTACTGGCTTAATGGATATGGTGAAGCTATAGACATGCTATATCTTGATTAATAAGGCTTCTGACATAGTCCCACATGACAGTCTCATAAGCAGTCTAGGAAAATGTGGTTTCAATGGAATTACTATCAAGGTGGGAGCAAAAGTGATTGAAAGACTACTTTAAAGAGTAGTTATCAATGGTTCACTATCAAACTAAGTGGACATATCTAGTGCATGGATTCTCAAACTTCATTGCACTCTGATCCCCTTCTTTTAATAAAAATTACTGTGTGACCCAAGGAAGGGGAGGGGGAGACCAAAACTTGAGCCCACCTGAGCCCCACCGATCTGATTGGAGGGCCAAATCTAAAGACCAAGACCTACAGCCCCTGGGGGGTAGGTGAGAGGCAGAGCTCAAGGGCTTCAGACCTGAGAGGGTGGCTGTAACCTAAGCCCTGCCATTCAGGATTGAAATCCTTGGGCATTGGCTTTGGCCCAGGGTGGTGAGGTTTGGTCTTTGTGCCTGAGCCCAGTGCTCCACCAAGTCTAACACCAGCTTGGGAACCCCTTTAAATTGGGGTTGTGACCCACTTTGTGGTTCCAACCTACAGTTTGAGAACTGCAGATCTACTGTGATCCTGAAGGTCTCTCTTGGGTCCCATACTGTGCAATATTTTCATCAATGACTTGGACAATGGAGTATAGATCATGCTTATAAAATCTGTGGATCATACCAAGCTGGGCAATGGAGCTTGCAAGCACTTGGTTGGAGGACAGCATTATAATTCAAAATGACCTTGACAAATCGGAGAGTTGGGCTGAAGTCAAGAAGATAAAATTTAATATACGATACTTTGGAAGAGGAAATTGAACGCACAACAAGAAAAGGAGGGAATAACTGGATAGGCAGTGGTACTGGTGAAAAGGATCAAGAGATTATAGGGGATCAGAAACTGGATACGAGTCAACAGTGTGATGCAGGTGCAAAAAAGGTACATCAACAGGAGTGACGAATGTGAGACATGGAAGATAGTGGTTCTAATCTTCTTGGCACTGGTGAGGTCCCATCTGGAGTAGCATGTCTAGATTTGAGTGCAGCACTTTAAGAAAACTATGGGCAAATTGGAAAAAGTTCAGAGGAGTGCACCAAAAATTACAGAAGGTTTAGAAAACCTGACCTATTAGAGTCAAGAAAACTTGACATGTTTAGTTTTGAGAAGAGAAAACTGAGAGGGGACCTGATAAGTCTGTGATGAATTGTATAAATCCCACACTAAAACTGATGAGGTTAAAGAGCAGTTCTGGACCCAGATGACCCTTCCTATCTGTACCTGCAGAGCATGCTCCAAATGGAGGTAGAACTTGGAAAGGAAGCCAGACAGCTCAGCAAGGGACCAGCAAGGCAAGGAGAAGGAACTGTGCTGGAAGCTCCTGGGAAGGGTTGCTGCAGAAGCCTCTTTTGGAAAAGAGGAGACAACTTCTGGGCCAGACTGAAGACAAGGGCACCGTTTTGGGAGAGCGGGAGGGAGGGGGCACAAGCACAGTTTGCTTTCTTCCCATTCCCCTGACAATAAGGGAGTGAGGGAAAAGTACTTGGGTTCCATGAATTACTTCTCTGCTTGCTCCCTTCTCCAGCCAGCAGTGAGAGGCATGCACAGAAACTGTGTACTTTTCCCTTTTTCCCTTATCGTCAGGGAAACTGGAAGAAAAGCAAGCTGCATCCCAGAATGCATGCCTGCATGCACCTGAAAAGGCGCCCTTGCTGAAGGTGCAGTTTTTCAATTACCTTTTTTGCTACAGATTGCAGAACGTGAATAAGTGAGTGGGTGGTAGGCAGTGGCCAAAGTAGGGCAGCTTTAAGGTGTTCCTGAGTACTGGACTTTTGACAATCTTTGCAGGGCCCTGGAGAACATCCTGGTGGAATGTGAGGGTTTGGGCTCCCCTACCAACCCTATTTCACACTAAGAAGGGACTTCCCCCTAATCACTAGGGCCGTGTCCAGACTCAGGGGTTTTTTCGGGAAAAGTAGCCTTTTCCCGAAAAAACTTCCCCTGCGTCCAGACTCAAGCCGCGTTCTTTCGAAATTATTTCGAAAGAACGCGGCTTTTCTTTCGATGGCGGTAAACCTCGTTTCACGAGGAAGAACGCCTTCCTTCGAAAGTTCCTCTTTCGAAGGAAGGCGTTCTTCAATGTAAAGAGGCCGTCTTCGAAAGAGAGCATCCAGAGTCGCTGGGTGCTCTCTTTCGAAAAAGCGGATTTCTCTTTCGAAAGATCCGCCTGCAGTCTAGACGCGATCTTTTGAAAGAGGCTCTTTCGAAAGATGCTTTCGAAAGAGCCTCTTTCGAAAGAAGCCTGCAGTCTAGACATAGCCTAGGTGCCACTTCTAGTAACTGTTAGCATCATACTGTGTTAAGGGCTACTATAAAGTAGCCAGTGATCAATTGTTCTCCATGTCCAGCAAAGTAGTAAGAAGAAAAAGAAGTAATGGGCTTAATATACAGCAAGGGAGATCTAGGTTAGATGTTAGGAAAAACTTTCCAACGATAAAGATAATTAAGCACTGGAATAGACTTTCAAGGGAGGTTTTGGAATCTGCATCCTTGGAGATTTTTAGGAACAGTTTAGACAAAGACCTGTTAGGAATGATCTAGGTATCCTGATCCTGTCTCACTGTGGGTCTACATGACCTCCTTGAGATCCTTTGCAGCCCTACATTTCTATGATTCTGTAGAAGGCTGTCCTCCCCTTGTCTGTTTTTTTTGTTGGCTAGCACCAGGAGCCTTACACAGTCCATTGCCTACAGAGTCCCTTAGGAGAATCTGATTTGGGGATGTTGAAGAAATTGGCTCCTCGTCCCTTCCAACTCCCATGTGTCTCTCTGCAGGAGCTGTCCACAATGTAGTCCTTAATTAGAAAGGGTATTTGTTGAAGGAATAACTGTTCCACTTTGGTGATCCATGCAAGCAAACAACTGAGATATTTTATACGGAACGCTTCGGTATCTGAATGGTATAAGAAGTATGAACAGCTTTAATTTACTTATTGAATTCTGGAAATGGAGGCCTGGAACAGTCATGGATGGGCTTTGGGAATGTTAATTATTTGTGTACATGAACAAGCTTATAAATGCTTGTTTTTGCAGTCTTATTTTGCTCATTGAGGCTAGATGTCCGTGCCAAAGAAAAGGAGGAAGAATGAATTATATATTTTTTACCCATTCTACAGACACTTTCTGGGCTTGATACAATGCCTGTAACAAACCATGAATTGCTGTCCTACTGAGCCACTTCATCGTGCCTATATTCAAAGTAAGCAGGGAACCGTTATACTAATCCACTGCACCATCATATCTCTAGTAAACACAAGAAAGTGATTGCTTTGAATATTTATTTTGACGCAAGGAGTGTTAAGTCTTTTATTTGGCAACACATACCGCTAATTGATTGACATTCTCAACTTCGTTACATTAATTGTGCAAGTTCTGTTCTTGCAACCACCATTTTTTCAGAAAGGTTTCTAAGTAACATTTGGCTTTGTGAGACTAGAATACCACAACAACCTCAGAGTGGTTCACCTCTGCAATTAGGATGGTTTTAAAACATGAAAGAGAACTGATTTGTTTTTGCTTTCTTTTTAATCAGGTGCGATTATATGCAAGACCTGATGCCATCAGAAGAGGATCTGGGGACTATGCTCTAAATATTACAAGGAGACTCATTGAGTTTTATGAAGACTACTTTAAAGTGCCCTATTCCTTGCCAAAATTAGGTAAGATTTTTCTGAGAACACTGATTATCCAAGGGAACTCTATTCTAGAGGTTAGAAAATAAGGTTGTTTTTGCTGGTAGACTTCAAGGTGAAGAATTTGAGGGGTTAAGTTAGAAAGGACATTGAACAGGAAATTGTAAATTCTCTTACAGAGAAGAAGCCAATTTTTCACCTCTTCATCATCTTGCCTTTAGGTGCAGCTAGTAACAACAATCAAATCTATTAGGCATTTAAACTCTAGAGAATAGAAGCTTTGCTAATCAGTTTCTGCTTTCCTGATGCTCAGCATGTTGGGCCTCACTCTCATTAGATAGCCCTCAGGTTATGTTTGTTCAGTCATATGTATATCTTGATTGCTCAGCTGCAGAAAGGGATTAGAATTGAAAATAACTCTGGACATGGGAAGTTTACAACATTTAAAGAAAATATTTGTTGATTAGCATAGTTTCATAATGATGATTAATATATGCTTGAAAACATTACTGCTTATTGAGAGAATTGTGAGCTTATTTTGATGTTCAGATGATTCATTTAAAAAATTGACATTTTTTATACATTTTTCCATCAGTATCCCACCCCCGTTCCCTCAGTTATTTCATACTATATTGTTACATACTTCCTCCTTAGGAATATGTTTGATCAAGATCCAGAAAAAAAATATTGCTCAGCAACAAGAATAAAGCTTGTATTTGATCACAAATGTTAGAATTTGAACCACAGGTGTTCCTTCCTTGAGCTCAGGGCCTATTTCATTAAAGCACTAGCCTGCTGGGTAGCTTTATTAGTCTTTCAAGTAATGGTGTAGTAGATAGATAAAGTAATTAGTATTGTTTGAAGTGGGTGTTGCATGCATTTTAAATAAGAATGATGTGACTTTTTTTTTTGTCCTTTTAAAATGATGGGATGCAAGCAGTGTTCTGTTAGAGGCATGGATGCTTATAAACATTGAACTCTCTTCTGACTACAAGTTACTGTTTGTTTGTATTTTCGTCCCTCGATTTAGCACTGCCTACCCAAGAAGTTGTGACATGTAGTTGTGACAGAAATATTTTTGGGGCATTGCTGAACCCCAGCTGGAGAAGTCAGAAACTTCTCCACATGATATTATAATGAATAAATAATGCTTGCTTGGCAGCTGAAGTTCCCCACTCACTTTAGCAAGTAATTAAAAGGAAAAATTGGATATCTTTCTTCCCTTTGAAAATTTATAATTTGCAAAGAGATTCAGATGATTAATGTAGATAGTTTAAAATGGTCATCTGGTAATAGTAAGTAGAGATTGGGTCTACTTATGTACATTTTTAACAAAACATAATTGCCTTTCACCTTAATATGTTTTACTTGTTGTTGCTACAAAGCATTGTATTTTGTTAAAATATGTCAGAGAATGAATGCTTTGCAGTTTAGTCTATTTATAGGATTATACTATAAAACACTATACTGAATGTGTAGTTTTTCTACAATAAATTATATTAAAATGACTAATTTAGGATTAAAATCTAATGCTATTAGGTTTCTAGTGTATGGAGACTTTGTTATGATATAGTAATACTATAGAAAGCATAATACTATAGAAAGCTTAGGGTGACCATATTTTCCTATGCTGAATACAGGATAGTGGGTAATATTACTTATATTCAAGAGAGTTCAGTGGCAATCATAACTATACTGTACAAACTTTTAAATAAACATCTAGTTGACAGAATCTCAGTTAAAAAGAGTTACCACACAGATGGAGTTTTTTTATTTAGCTTCTTTAAGGTATATGAGGAGAGAGGACACTCACGCACATATACACTCTCCCATATACCCTCTCACAAGGGGATGAGGGTGATTGACCGCCTTGACCCATCCCTCTCTCCCAGTGCTATCCGCCTTCTATGTCTGGAGCATCCACCTATCTTGGTACCTGGTGCCACGTCTTCTCAATGCAACATGTGGTGGGTATTCAGGATCACAGACCTCCCTCCCAAAATTTGTCAAAGTTCACACCATGGGCAGAAGCAGCCTTTCAGCACTGAAGGAAGGAAGGGATGGGAGCTGCTTGCAGCTACAGGGTAGTGGAGGTTTGGGTAGGGACTGACCTGGCCTTTGTATTGGAGAGGTCCTCTCTTCCCCCCTGCCCCTGCCTCCTACCCCGTGATGGAAAGCATCTTGTCCCTTCCTGCCTGCACAGTGTCAAAGGCAGCTAAACCTCCAAGTTGCTGCTGGCCATCGGCATATCCCAGCCACCTTCTGTCTCCTGCATGCAGTGTGGACAGGAAGGGGTCAGTCCCTAAGGACGCATTGTGCTCCAGGGCTCAGAGAATCTGTCTACAGGGATTTCAGCTAACCGGGCCAGAGAGATTGCCCAGTAGGGGAGGGTGCTTGGAGAGAGAGCAGTACTACATGCTTTGGGGGTAGAATCTAGGATGGGGCAGTTTATGAAGAGGGTGCTATGCCCTTATCTGGGTAGTTGCTGTGGATCCTGCAGGGTTGAGATGCAAAAAGGCTGGAAATAGCTTTCTCATTACCATTTCAGAGTTTCGCTGAGGGTGGAGAAGCTTCCCCATGCCAGCACTGTGTGGGGCTTTGGCAAATGCAGGACTTGGCTCTTTCTGGACAGTTCCCTGGGGCATAGAGCCTTCTGCTTTCCCTAGGTGCCAGCCTAGCTAGAGGCTGTCGGGTGTGGGGGGGAGGAAGAAGCTTGCCAGGAAGGCTCTTGGTGAGCTGAATGATTTGGCCAGGGGTTGGTTGTCTGCACAGTTCTAGGAGCAGGATATAGAGGAGCAATGGAGCCCGCGGGCAGTAGCGGCACACATTGTAACCAGCCACAGCCAGCTCACACTCTCCAGCCACCATTACAAGTAGCCAGTGCTGGCTGGAAACAGAGACAGGGTAGGGTGGGACACGAATGTATTGATCAAGAACTGGCAAGCAGCAGGAACTGCATTCATGGAGCAGCAGAGGGAGCTGCCAGCCTTGCATGCTTCAGTTTTGCCCAACCACCAGTCTTGCACTCCCATCATTAGCTGCTGGACCTGCCCCCACTCACCACTGGTAGGTGGGCAGCTCGCGAGCAAGGATTTGTTCAGTACTAATGAGAGGGGAGAGAGAGAAAATATGGGACAATTGGTTTAAATATGGGACTGTCCCTTTAAAAATGGGACATGTGGGCTCCCTAAATTAATTAGTTTATAGGATAAGAAACATAATTTTCAAAGTAACATACAGAGCACCCCGAGTGTACAATTTGTTTAGTGTAAGTCTGCTGGGGAAAATGTTGTAATTACCTCTGTGGTCCACAAATGTAAGTCTAATTGGTTTATATTCCTAAATCACATCAGCATTTTTGAAATGTTGCCTGCTATGTGTCTTGATATTTTCCTTTCCAGTTCAGCAAAATTGTTAAGTCAGTTGACCCACTGCTGTCATGTGCTATGCTCTTTCGTATGCATTGTGTTGTTATACTGCCCTATTAACAGCTAGTAGTTCTTGGTCAGGCCGCGTCATTGTCTGATTCTTCTCCCATTTTGACCATATGTATGATGTGTGTGTGGGGCGTGTGGACTCCTTGTATGTTGGCATTTTTGAAACGTCTGTGTAGATTCATAGATTCCAAGGCCGAAGGGAGCACACTGGAAATCATGTCTGACCTCCTGTATAACACAGGCCATAGAGCATCCTTAAATTATATCAAGAGCCGGTGGGCAGCAGAGATGAAAGGTAACCAGCCTCGTAAAATCCAATCTTTATTTAAAATTATCAGTGATAGAGAATCCATCAGGAGCCTTGGTAAATTGTTCCAAAGATTAATTGCCCTCATTATTAAAAATCTACACCTTAGTTCCCATCTGAATCTGTCTAGCTTTAACTTCCAGATACTGGACTATCTTACACCTTTCTCTGTTAGATTGGCAATTAGTTCAATTTCTGTGCCAGTCTGTCATGCGCTTTGATTTGGGCATTCCAAACTGGCTCCAGTTATTTGAGCTTGTCTCAGAGTGGGCTAAAAGTCTTCTTATGAACCAGTTTGGCTCGCCAATGTGGTTGTGTGATTTGTTTTTGACTGTCTTTTCACTGCTGCAAGTACACAAGGACAATTTAAGTTAGGATATATAATTACTTAAATGTATGTGTATGTGTCTAAATGTGTGCGTATAAAAGTGTGTGTGTGTGTATGTCTGTGTATTCTGGTTAGCAAAGGGAACTCCTCAAATTTAGTGAATGATTAGATTCAAATCAACATCTTTTAATGGTAATAAACCTCTGTTAAGGAAAATAACTAAAAAGTACAAACACAAAACAATTAAAATGTGTTACTTAAATCATGGTTTCCTGCTTGCTGATTAAAATTTGTGATTTAAATTGCTTTGATTTAAATCAATCTGCCTGATAAACATTCTGTTTTTCAAACGTCTGTGGTGCCTTTGGTGGAGTTGTTATAGAATACCTAGTTCATCACAGTTACCAGAGAGGACCAGTATGGGTTGAGGCAGGGAGCTTAAAAATATAGGAACTAGGGATGTTAAAACAGTTAATCAGTTAAATGCTAATGCTTAATCAGTTAACCATTTAACATAGGGTCTACTGCCCAGCCCTCTGCAGCCGTAGGGTCTAGCCATGGCCGTGATGTCCCATCGCAGGTCCTTTTGTGGCCACGAGGTCCTGTTGCAGCTGTGGGGCCCTGCCATTCTGCTCACTGGCCTGTCTGTTACTCCGGCCCGATGTGGCTGGCCAATGCTGGAGTTCGCCGACAAGGGCCTTTTAACTGATAAACATGCTGGTAAGCCTTATGATTAGTGGTATGCTGACTTGTTAGTCATTCCACATCACTGGTTAGCGGATTCTCTGGTTATTGCTTAAGGCATGTTTCTTTGTGTAACCCTTCTGCTAGATAGTACTGGCAGCAGCCAGGGCCGGTTTCAATATCTAGGGGTTCCTTTTCATCCATCCCACACAGAAATGGCTTGAGCCCCCACCCAGTAGCCTGGGAAATTCACATATACCCCTATGTGCCT